ACACACACACGTACATGTACACATGATCAGACTCACCGGCGGGCTCTCAATCAAGACCTCTTTGCTGCCCACATCCATCTTGCTGTAGACACCTTCCCTCCTCATCTCTGAGTACAACTAGGGTCTTATATGTGCCAGCATGGACACAGGACAGAGGTAGAAGACCCAGCCCCTGTCTGCCAGCCAAGCCCTCAGCTTTGAAGCCTGTTTGTTCCTGGCCCTCCAGGGCCAAGGGCCCGATAAGCCAGCTGCAAGAGCACCTGAGGGCCCTTGGCCCTGGCGCGTGAGTCCTCTTGGCCCCAGGGAAAGCAAAGCTGGGTGAGCTGAGCAACCTTGCCCTTGAGAAATATACACCTCTCACCGTGGGTGTCTTCCTGGCATGCCTGCCATTCTTGCTGGCACCTGCCCCTGCCGTCTTATAGCTTTTCCTGTTCTTCTGCCAGGCTGAACCTCTTCGGCAGCCAAGAGCCAGTCCCAATGGGTCCACCATACTTCCCAACAGATTTGCCCCCAGAATTGCCTCCACATTGCCTCTGGAGCGTAAGCTCCAGGAAGGTGAAATCTTGTGGACCCACAGGAACAGTACCAAAGGCATGAGGTGCTTTGGCATCAGTGCAGGGTTTCACAAATGGTTCATAAATTCCCTGGGAGTGTCAGATTTTCAACTCAAGTATACATGCCTTGCCTCCTCCCATCTTGTACCTAACCTCAGACATGCCCCTGGTCATTCTTTCCCAAATTCTGAAAACTGTCCCTTCTAGTTATAAATTCTTACTAACGTGCAGTTTTTCTTTCTTTGTATGGGCTTGTTTGTAAGCTGAAGGCTTTTTCTCTTTCACCTGATGTTACCTTTTTTGCATTTATTTTTAAGTTGTATTTATTTATTTGTTTATCTTTGCTGTGCTGGGTCTTCATTTCTGCTTGCAGGCTTTCTCTAGTTGAGCCAGCAGGGGCTACTCTCTAGTTGCAGTGCGTAGGCTTCTCTTGTAGTTAATTCTTTTGTTGCCTAGCACAGCCTCTAGAGTGAGTTCTCAGTAGTTGTGGCACACCAGCTTAGTTGTCCCAGGGCAGGTGGGATCTTCTCGGACCAGGGATTGAATCTGTGTCCCCTGCATTGGCAGGCGGATTCTTAACCCCTGGGCCACCAGGGAAGTCCCTGCAATTGTTTTATGCTTAATTTATTTTCCAGAGCATACATTTTTGCTTCTCCAGTTTCTTCTGGGACAGCTTTCTCTTCTGCACAAGTTCCTGTGCAAGTTTAGGGATAACTGGCTCTTTTCCTAGTCAGGATCATCTCTGTGTGGCAGGGGGAGTCCACAGGGGTTAATCAACTGTGAGCTCTGTGAAGTTCTGTGCGGCATCTTGGGGGCTTGTTGACCAGAGAATCCACATCGAAACCCTTCAGTTCAGCATTACTGTCTGCATTTTTAAGCACATGAAGCAAAACTCAGCATTCTTTTTGGGTCGCCAGCCCTATGTTTAGCCCTGCTGTTTGGCTTGGGCACGTCAACCAGCTCCACAATTGGAACAAGGGAACAGCACATATTGCTTCTCTAAAGTGACATCCTTCAAATACTTGGTGGCTTTAGGGATATACATACCCTTGATAGCCTGTGCCATTTCACGAATATTCCTAAAGTGAACACAAAGATTTGAACTTCTGGATTTGCATGTTTCTGTGGGTTTTCTGCATCAAAGAGGGAGCAAACCATTTTCAGAGATCAAACTGGAGGTTTTTGTGTGTTTTTTTTTTTTTTTTTGGCTGCACTGGGCACTTGAGATCTTCTGTCATAATTGTGGCAGCAGGATCTATCTCCTTGGTTAGGGATTGGACCTGGGCCCCCTGTATTGGGAGTGTGGAGTCTTAGCCAATGGACCACCAGGGAAGTCCCAAGCTGGAGGCTTCTGATAGCAGTTCTTCAGCTGACAGTTATGCCCAGACAGCCCTGCACAGGGCTGGTGGTGGTGTCTGATGGGGGTCCCCATCTCCTTGTCCTTGAATCAGCCCACTTGCTTAATGCTGCCTCTCGCCCTACCCTCTCAACATTCTTCTTTTTATATCCTCTGTTCCTGCATTTGCCCTGAGGATGCTCTTACCCAGATCTAAACTGCTTCTGGATCTTCTCCTCTCCACCCCTTTCCTGTCTCTTTCCCCAAAGTCATCTCTGTTGCTTTGTAGTACAAAACCACGTCAATTAATGACCGCCTCCTTTCTCTCCAGCTCCCTCCGCTTGCTGGGCCAAGTGGTCTCTACATTGCCTTCACCTCTGAACTTTAACTCGAGTGTCAGTCAGAGCCCCACACCTCACTCCTCTCTTGGCCTCACCCCATTCTCCTTGTACTTGAACTCCAACACTTCACCCCAATTCCTGTCCTTTGCTGGGTGCCCCCTCCCACCGTGACCCTGCCCTTCAGTCACGAGCTGGCCCCCAACTCTCCAGCCCTGGCAGATTCCGTTGTCTCCACGAGGACCCCCTCTCCAGCTGGAGAGCCTTTAGCCTCCAGGTTGCACAATGGCATGGTATCCAAGTTGAGAGTCCCAGAAGAGAAGCTCCGGAAAGGAGAGAGAGACAGAAGTGTTTGTTCCCACTGCTCTCCTCACCCCCAACTGCCACTTTAAATATTTGCCTAAGCCTCTAGCAGCAAGTGTCCTAGGAGGAGGGAGAGAGAGGGATGGGAGTCCAGGAAGAAGGAGGGAGGAGAAGCATCCTTCTGGGACTGTATGCAGCCTCAGCTGCTGCAGGTGCCAGATGCGGGAGACAGCCCGCCTGCCGTGCCTACCCCTGCTGGCCCCAGGGCCCCCACTCCCACCCCGGTTGTCCTGGCAACACTGGGATTGATTGGCTGACTCACGCGCACTGGACCTGAGCCAGGTGGGCAGTGGGCCAGCGGGAGAACCAAGGAGAATGGCAAGCATCTCAGGGGTCCCTGTGGGCATCCTGGGGGTGGGTGGGGCATGATCCAGGTGTGGGGCTTGTTCTGAGCAGGCGCTGTGCCTGGAGCGTGCCAGCATCTCTGGCTGCTGGGGAAATCCTCCCCTGCCAGCTGCCCTTAGGCTGTGGTTCTTACAACTTTGTTTTTATCCCTTTCTTTATTAACTCATTTTTGCCTTTTTGGAAGTCGGGGAAGGAAGGGTGCTGTCAAGTTTCATAGGGGAAATCCACATGCTGGCACTGACATGGAAGGTCTTGGGATTCTTGTCTTCCTTCCAGAAAGGGGCAGCAGGGTTGTCAGCTCACCTCCCCCCCACACTATCCCAGCCCTCTGCTGTAGGCTTTTCACTTTTTGGCCTTTACTTAGGCCATTTCTCCTTGCTGGAAGGCACACCTTCAATGCCTCTACACCTCTCTGAATACCACCCACCCTAGAAGGCCAGGCAAGAGCCAGCCTAGCCCACAGAGCCCCTTCCCTCCTGCACGTCCACCTGCCACTCAGCAGGCACTGCTGTCCCCTTCGGCTCTTCCCAGCCAGGCTGCCAGCCCCTGGGACCAGCCCTGAGACCATGCCTTCCTGAGGCTTCACACAGGCCAGGCACATGCACGCAGCCAACATGAAACTCTATTCAGTGATACTGAGACTGTCACCAAACATGACAGGGCTGCTAACAAGGGGTCAGTAGCTGATTCCCTCATTATGTAGAAGACTCAGTGCTTCACTGATCAGCTCAGCTCTGGGACCATGAATAAGTCATTCTGCCTTTCTTGGCTTTAGTGTGTTCATCTGTGGGCTTCCCAGGTGGTAAACAACCCACCTGCCAATGCCAGAGACATAAGAGATGCAGGTCCGATCCCTGGGTCACGAAGATCCTCTGGAGGAGGGCGTGGTAATCCACTCCAGTATTCTTGCCTGGAGAATCCCATGGACAGAGAAGCCTGGCAGGCTACAGTCGATGGGGTCGCAAAGAGTCGGAGATGACTGAAGTAACTTCACATGCACCCACATGTTCGTCTGTGAAAGGGGGCTAATACAGCCTGTCTTGCTCCTCTCTCCAGGTTGCTATAAGGATCCAATGACATCACGATGTGCAAGTTCAATCGTCATGATTATCATCATGGACTTCACCCCCAGGGCATCTCTTCCCACTGGCTAAGAACAGGACCCAGACTCCCCCATTCTGTCTGTATCTGAGTGAAAGCTCTCCGAGAACCATGGGTGATGGAGAAGCCCATGGTAGCCACCCTTGTGTGTGCCTTCTCTTTTCCTTCTTCCAGCCCCTCAGCTGCAGGGGAGGGACAAGATTCACTCTGCCCTTTGTGTGCTGGGCACAGCCGTGCCAGGGACGGGCAGGGATGGTTGTCCAGCTGCCCAGGCCACCCTCCCCACCCCCACTGCTTGTCGTCCCACGAACTGGCATGGGGAGGGCAGCACGGGCAGCTGGACGGGCAGTAGCAAGTGAGCATCCAAGCGCAGGGGCATCCCTGGCTGGAGAAAATGGACTTATGCTCACATCAGAGAATCCCTGTCTGGCAGAGGCTAGGGACAGCTGGGGAAGCATCTTCTACCCAGNCGCACACACACACACACACACAAACACACACACGCGCGCCCTCGCGCCCAGCCGCTTTGGGTGCCAGGCCGCTGAGCAGATGGCCCCGGAGACGGCCTGCAGGGCGCGCAGCGGCCGACCGGGGCCGCAACCACTCCTTTCTGTGGCTACTCCCCTCCCCACACCGGGGACTCCCCCGCTCCGCACTGCGCGCCCCCGCCGCCCGCCGCAGTCCGCGTCCTCCCAACCGGTCAACCTTCGGCTCGGCCCCGGGCTCCGCGCATTTCTGCATCTCTCCGAGTGCTCGGCTCGCGGGAGCGAGCAGGGGCGGGGACGGCCGCCGGCGCCCGAGGACCGGAGGAGTAGCTCTGCAGAGGACAGCCGGGGGGGCCTAGCTGTCACCGCGGCTGCCCGGGAGCGCCCGCTCGGGGTGGCCGGGAGCGGTGGGGCGGGGGCCGCGAGCTCGCGGGCAGCATGGCGGGGCTGCAGGCCAGGTGGGGCTCNGAGCTCGCGGGCAGCATGGCGGGGCTGCAGGCCAGGTGGGGCTCGGGGCTCAGGCTGCTGGCGCTGTCCACCCTGGGCCTCTGCCTAATGCTGGAAGTCGGCGCCAAGAGGCCCCCCAAGACGCCTCCCTGCCCCCCGAGTTGCTCCTGCACTAGGGACACCGCCTTCTGCGTGGACTCCAAGGCAGTGCCCAGGAACCTGCCCTCCGAGGTCATCTCTCTGTGAGTGCTCTGGACTGGGGCGCTGCCGGGTGGGGGAGCTGGAAAGAAGAAGGCAGAAACCCTGCTCTGGGGAGAACCCCTGCTCCCTCTCTACAGAGTTTAAGGACCAGGAGGGCTCCAGGGGGCCTGGGGAACTGAATTCCAGGCAGCAGCCTGGCTGGGAGTTCTGCAGTCATGCTGGGGAAAGCAGCCATGGCTGGAAAAGAGTGTTTATGGCCAAGAATGAATCATCACCACCATCAGCATTAATGAGACCTACTGTGTGCGGGTGCTGGACTTGGAGGGAGGGGGTTGTTTACATGAGTATGGGGGCCGCTGCCTGTGATGTCATACCAAGGACAGAAGGCCTCTTGGAGGGGGAAGGGTGGGAGGGAGATACACCCATACCGTGCCCTGGCACGGGTGGATGCCTGCCACTGGTCTCGCCAGCCACTCTGCACGGGGCCAGGCAGCCTGTCCCTTGCAGCAAGCAGCCTCAGGGACTAGATAGGCTGTGTGGTTGGTCCCTGAGGGCAAGATGCTAATCCACCGCCCCCATCTCAGTGCTCCATCCCTCCACAGCACCCAGCACACTGGGTGTTTGGATGATGAAGCAGGTATGGGTAATGGAACCTTCTTTTGGCCGAGGTCCTTGGTGCTCAGGGAGTCAGTACTGGAGGATGATAATGAGCTTGTGAGAAGGGAAAGAGCCTCAGGTTGAAGTGGGGGGTGGAGCCAGGTGACATGGGGAGTTTCCAAAGCGAGCGTATACAGAAGACATTGCCCTGTCCACTTCATGCCGTCCCAGCACAGCCCTGTATTCTCCCCTTGGTTACTGACCCTCAGATGTCCCCTGCAGGACGCTGGTGAATGCTGCCTTCTCAGAGATCCAGGATGGAGCGTTTTCCCACCTGCCACTGCTGCAGTTCCTGTATGGACAGGGCCTCGCTGAAGGGCAGGGCCGGGCAGGGGAAGGGAAGGAGCTCAGACTGGGGGGAGGGGAGAGGAGACTGGTCCTGAGTTGCCCGTGGAGGTCAAGCTGCAGGTGTCCCTTGCTCGCTCCAACGGGAGAGCCACAGTGAAGCAGCGGAGAGTCCAGAGGGCCCCGGGACAGCAGTTTGGGGAAGGAAGGTCCGGGTTGCACGCAAAAGCAAAGAACGGGGATGTTTGGGGCCCAGTTAGAATGGACTTGTGTCCTCTGGAGACCCCAAAGAATTGGGTGCAGTAGTTTGAGCTGGAGCCAGAGGGTGGACAGTGCAGGTGAGAGGGGTCACCTTAGAGACAAGTGATCCCAAGGATCAGGGTTTGAAGAGAGAGCCTGGAGCTGAAAGGGAGGGAAGACTGGAGGGTCTGGAATTCTAAAGGGAGCTATTTATGTTTGAAGCCCCAGTCACAAGAAAAGATAAGCGTGGTTATCCTCAAACTTACATCCCTCTGAGAGGAACTGGAGTGAGCTGGGTGAGGGTGGGAGGCAGGGTGGTGGGGAAGGACCCAACTTGACAGGAGAGGTATGCCCTAGGAGTAAATGGGGGCCCTGGGAGCTTCTGGGACCAGAGCAGATTCCCGCCTGGACTTGCCACCCAGGCTGCTCCGGGACTCTCCGCTAGGGTCCACAGGGTGGGAGGCATGGCTTGGGGGTGAGGCAACTGACTGGGAGCTGGCACGGCAGGCGTGCCCTTGGAAACGCTAATCTGCCTTTGTCTCTTCAGGTTACTCAATTCCAACAAGTTTACACTGATTGGAGACAATGCTTTCACAGGACTCTCACACCTGCAGTACCTGTGCGTGGGAAGGAAAGGGGAGTTGGGAGGAGGGCTGAGAACAGAGATGAAGTGAGGAGGGCTAGGGGGAGGTGGGAGGAGTGCCCTTGAATCCTCTGACTGCAGGGCCCGAGCAGAAGGTCATTTCATCCATCCCTCTGCCTAAACCATCCCGCCTGGCTGCCTGTCACCACAGGCTTCATGTCCAGACTCAGAATGAAAGCCTGCCATTTGTGAGAAGGGAAAGAGCCTCAGGTTGAAGCGGGGGGTGGAGGCAGGTGACATGGGGAGTTTCCAAAGCGAGCGTATACAGAAGACATTGCCCTGTCCACTTCATGCCGTCCCAGCACAGCCCTGTATTCTCCCCTTGGTTACTGACCCTCAGATGTCCCCTGCAGGACGCTGGTGAATGCTGCCTTCTCAGAGATCCAGGATGGAGCGTTTTCCCACCTGCCACTGCTGCAGTTCCTGTATGGACAGGGCCTCGCTGAAGGGCAGGGCCGGGCAGGGGAAGGGAAGGAACTCAGACTGGGGGGAGGGGAGAGGAGACTGGTCCTGAGTTGCCCGTGGAGGTCAAGCTGCAGGTGTCCCTTGCTCGCTCCAACGGGAGAGCCACAGTGAAGCAGCGGAGAGTCCAGAGGGCCCCGGGACAGCAGTTTGGGGAAGGAAGGTCCGGGTTGCACGCAAAAGCAAAGAACGGGGATGTTTGGGGCCCAGTTAGAATGGACTTGTGTCCTCTGGAGACCCCAAAGAATTGGGTGCAGTAGTTTGAGCTGGAGCCAGAGGGTGGACAGTGCAGGTGAGAGGGGTCACCTTAGAGACAAGTGATCCCAAGGATCAGGGTTTGAAGAGAGAGCCTGGAGCTGAAAGGGAGGGAAGACTGGAGGGTCTGGAATTCTAAAGGGAGCTATTTATGTTTGAAGCCCCAGTCACAAGAAAAGATAAGCGTGGTTATCCTCAAACTTACATCCCTCTGAGAGGAACTGGAGTGAGCTGGGTGAGGGTGGGAGGCAGGGCGGTGGGAAAGGACCCAACTTGACAGGAGAGGTATGCCCTAGGAGTAAATGGGGGCCCTGGGAGCTTCTGGGACCAGAGCAGATTCCCGCCTGGACTTGCCACCCAGGCTGCTCCGGGACTCTCCGCTAGGGTCCACAGGGTGGGAGGCATGGCTTGGGGGTGAGGCAACTGACTGGGAGCTGGCACGGCAGGCGTGCCCTTGGAAACGCTAATCTGCCTTTGTCTCTTCAGGTTACTCAATTCCAACAAGTTTACACTGATTGGAGACAATGCTTTCACAGGACTCTCACACCTGCAGTACCTGTGCGTGGGAAGGAAAGGGGAGTTGGGAGGAGGGCTGAGAACAGAGATGAAGTGAGGAGGGCTAGGGGGAGGTGGGAGGAGTGCCCTTGAATCCTCTGACTGCAGGGCCCGAGCAGAAGGTCATTTCATCCATCCCTCTGCCTAAACCATCCCGCCTGGCTGCCTGTCACCACAGGCTTCATGTCCAGACTCAGAATGAAAGCCTGCCATAGGCTGGAATCCAGGAGGGCCACAGGGATGCAGCTGGGGTCGGGGAAGTAGTCTGGGTGCAGAATGGTGGCTGAAATAAGTTCTGTTTTCTCCAGCTTCATTGAGAACAACGACATCTGGGCATTATCCAAGTTTACCTTCCGAGGACTCAAGTCTTTGACGCACCTGTGAGTACATCACGCACATACACTGGCCCAAAGCCCTGTCTCCTGTGGCCTTTGGCCTTGGGCATGACCTTCAGGTGGGTGACCTAGAGGTCTCTCTTTCAGGTCACTGGCCAACAATAACCTGCAGACACTGCCTAGAGACATCTTTCGGCCCCTGGACATCCTGAGTGACTTGTAAGGCCTGAGTCCTACTTTTTGTTGACAGTGGCACAGAGGGGCGTGGCCCTGGAGGGAGCAGTGTGGGAGCCAGAATTGGAAGATCATAAGGTCTTGATAGGCTGGGAGGGTTTAGGTTTGGGTGGGGGAGAAGGCTAGGTTGATTTATATAGAGACTGGTAGCCTTTCAAGTTGAGGTTCTTCAAGGCATTTGTGGACCCTCTTAAAATGCATGCAAGACATTATATGTATATTTTTTCCAATTTAGGAAGTATTTTATTTTTTAATTTATTTTTAAATGGAGGATAATTTCTTTAAAACGTTGTGTTGGTTTCTGCTAACGTTGGTTCAACGTGAACCAGCTCTGTGCATGCCAAGTCTCTCAGTCATGTCGGACTCTTTGCCACCCTATAAACTGTAGCCTGCCAGGCTCCTCTGTCCATAGGATTCTCCGGGAAAGAATGCTGGAGTGGGTTGCCATGCCCTCCTCCAGTGTATCTTCCCCACCCAGGGATCGAACCCTCATCTCTTAGGTCTTCTACATCGGCAGACAGGTTCCTTACCACTAGCGCCCCCTGGGAAACCAGTCAGTACGCGTGTGTCTTCTCCCTCCTGAATCTCCTTCCTACGGTGTACTTTTTGAACATGTGCTTTTTAAACATATGGTTCTTTTTTCCATTTATTTTTATTAGTTGGAGGCTAATTACTTTACAATATTGTAGTGGTTTTTGCCATACATTGANCTATTATAAACAGTGCTGTGATGAACACTGGGGTGCTCGTGTCTCTTTCAGATCTGGTTTCCTCGGTGTGTATGCCCAGAAGTGGGATTGCTGGGTCATATGGCAGTTCTATAAACATATGTTTGATTTGAATCTGTGTTAAAGTCCAGTAGCATAGCCATAGTCATTGACCAGTATTTCTACAAGAAAACAAAAGCCCCAGAATGAGGAAGGTTTGGAGGAACGGGGATGAAACAGACAGATGTGGAGGTCATACACGGGAAAAGGCCCCTGGCCAAGGAGGCAAGTAGGGACTGAAACTCAGCCTGTACTCTCCTGGTCAAGCACGTGTCCGTGGGGCTGAACCAACCCCTGGGGGACCTTTCTCTAACCGGCACAAAGATGCCACATGAACAGCCAGCAGCAGCCTTGCCAGTATCTACTGAAAACCCAGAGGGCCCGGGTGGGCAGAGCAGCTGAGAGCCTGCCCCCTCTGTGCCTCCTCCATCACCCTCATGATGCAGGGACCTGCGGGGCAACTCGCTCAACTGTGACTGCAAGGTGAAGTGGCTGGTGGAGTGGCTGGCGCACACCAACACCACGGTGGCGCCCATCTACTGCGCCAGCCCGCCCCGCTTCCAGGAGCACAAGGTGCAGGATCTCCCGCTGCGAGAGTTCGACTGCATCACCACGGGTAGGAGGTGCCCCACCTTGGGCATCAGGCTGGGCCTCCCCTGAGATGCTCCCGCTGCCCTGCCTTGCCAGTCGAGTAGCCCTAACCCTTCTCCCTAACCTAACCCTAACCCCTAACCCTGCATCCCTGCAGATTTCGTGTTGTACCAGACACTGTCCTTCCCAGCAGTGTCAGCCGAGCCCTTCCTCTACTCCAGCGACCTCTACTTGGCTCTGGCCCAGCCGGGAGCCAGCGCCTGCTCCATCCTCAAGTGGGACTACGTTGAAAGGCAGCTTCGAGACTATGATAGAATCCCAGGTATCTAGGCCTGACCTGGCTGTGGTGGCCCTGAGGGTGGGGTGGGCTCTGTTGTTCCTCTTCTTTGGGTTCCTACAGGTAGAAGGATAGATGAGACATGGTCTCTGCCCACAGGAAGAACTTTTCTAGTCTTTGGGGGGAGATTGATACATACACAGATAACATCCACATAATACACAGGTCCTAGGAGGAAGATATGACCACAGTGCTCTGGGGGCCAAAGGAGAGGCCTACCCTGGGCAATCAGGGAAGGTTTCCTGGTGGAGGGGATGCCTAAGCTGAATCATGTATATATATTTTTCCTTGTTTATTTATTTAATTGTGGCCGTGCTGCGTCTGTTGCTGCATGGGCTTCTCACTGCAGCGGCTTCTCTTACCGTGGAGCTCAGGCTCTAGAGCATGCAGACTCCAGCAGGTGTGGCACGGGTGGGCTCAGCGCAGGCAGGCTCAGTAGGTGCAGCTCCCAGGCTCTGGAACACAGGCTTAATAGCTGTGGTGCACTGGGTTAGTTGCTCCGAAGCCTGTGGGATCTTCCTGGATTAGGGATAGAACCTGTGTCTCCTGCATTGGCAGGCGATTCTTTATCACTGAGCCTTTGTACACAGTAAGCTGACGTGACGGTTATTCAGCTGGTCAATATCTAGCAACACGTATTTTGTGCTCAGTGTCAGCTTATATTGGAACTTGGGGTCAAAGGCAAAGGGAGGGTGAGGGTGAGATGGTTCTTAGCTGTGAGACAATTAGAAAGCATGGAGCACACGATGGATGTTCAGCAGGGAGAGAATACTGTAGCAGACAGCCTTAGTCGGAGGGGCCCGGCCCTCTTTTCTGAGGGTGTGGCGGGGGCCCCCTAACACCACTCCCCTCCACCCTGCAGCCCCTTCTGCAGTGCACTGCAAGCCGATGGTGGTGGACAGCCAGCTGTACGTGGTGGTGGCCCAGCTGTTTGGGGGCTCTTACATTTACCACTGGGACCCCAACACCACGCGCTTCACCAAGCTGCAGGACATTGACCCTCAGCGTGTGCGCAAGCCCAATGACCTGGAGGCCTTCCGCATCGACGGTGACTGGTACTTTGCTGTGGCTGACAGCTCCAAGGCGGGAGCCACCAGCCTCTACCGCTGGCATCAGAACGGCTTCTACTCCCACCAGGCCCTGCACCCCTGGCACCGGGATACCGACCTGGAATTCGTGGATGGCGAGGGAAAGCCACGCCTGATCGTGTCCAGCAGTTCGCAGGCTCCCGTCATCTATCAGTGGAGCCGCACCCAGAAACAGTTTGTGGCTCAGGGCGAGGTGACCCAGGTGCCCGATGCCCAGGCAGTGAAACACTTCCGTGCGGGCCGCGATAGCTACCTATGCCTCAGCCGTTACATCGGTGACTCCAAGATCCTGCGCTGGGAGGGCGCCCGCTTCTCCGAGGTGCAGGCCCTGCCCTCCCGGGGCTCGCTGGCCCTGCAGCCCTTCCTGGTGGGTGGCCGCCGCTACCTGGCGCTGGGCAGCGACTTCTCCTTCACACAGATCTACCAGTGGGATGACGGGCGGCAGAAGTTTGTGCGGTTCCAAGAGCTGGCCGTGCAGGCCCCCCGGGCTTTCTGCTACATGCCGGCTGGGGATGCCCAGCTGCTCCTGGCGCCCAGCTTCAAGGGACAGACGCTGGTGTACCGACACGTGGTGGTGGACCTCAGTGCCTAGGGGGGTGCGGGGGCCTCGGGGTTCCTCGGGCCACGCCGGAGGCTAGGTGGGAGCTTCCAGGTGAGCCACATATGTGCTTGTGGGAAGACACACATAGCCCATCCACACACGCGCTCTCACGTGTACACACCCCAGTGAGCATGGGCCGCACCATGGACTGTAGCCCAGGGAGGCCCCTTGGTCTTCACTGGAATCAGCACGAAGACTTGTGTACGCACCTGGCAACCCAGCGCCCAGTGCCCTCCCGCGTGGATGCCTATGCACCCCGCCCGCGGCCACCCTTGCTCTGCTGCCTGCCACGTGCTCTGGCCTGGCCTGGGGAGGGGTCCTGGGAGGGAGGGAGAGCGGCCAAACTTCTCCCTCCTGTTCTTCGGCGTATCCTTCTGACCCTCTGGTCTTTTCCTGTTGGTGCTCGGGGTGTCTGTTTACCTGCTCGTGCTCCGCATTGCAGCCTGTGGCCACATCCTCCTTACTGCCGGCTGCACTCTCCCACGCCACGCGCCCTCCGCGGGCACATGTGTGCGTGGACACACTCCTTCAGTGACACGCACGCACACCTGCCCACACGCCCGTCTCCGTGTGCACAGGCACAGCTTCAGTGCAGCCTGAAGGGCGTCTCCTCCGTGACCTTGCCTCTCTTCCTGCAGGGGCACACGGTACCCGGCCTCCTCCACTCACCCCCTGGTGTGCCCACCCCATGGCTGATAATGATGGGAATGGTGGTACCAGCCTCTGGGTACCAGCCGGACTTCCTGGGGGGCAAAGCCTCTCTGCCCGAAGCAATAACGACAGCCGACCCTGACTTCTTCCCAGCGCTCTCTGTTCTCACTGGACTTTCCTTCTCTCACCCTGAGTCTGCTTCCCTGGGGGACAGGAGACCACCCAGGTAAAGGCCTTCTGCTTTTCCTTCCCGTAGCTGCGCCTGCCTCTGACCGCCCTCTGGTTCAGTCCTACCTCGGGGACATGGGCCTTGTGTTGTGTGGGCTCTTCTGGGTGTGTCCACGGACCGGCCAAGCACCTGAGGTATCTGGGCAGGTGCCAGGAGTGGAGAACACCCTGGGGCCCTGGCACCCCTCTGAACCACAGAGACCCTCCCCGGAGTGGAGAGTGAGGAAGCGGCCCCTGACAACCAAGCTTCTGCCGCCCTCTGCTGTGCATGGGAATAGAAGGCTCTGAGACGTGAGACGCAGAGCTGGCGGGGGAGGCGCTTCCCAGTGCCCAGATGGCGTGAGGGCCCCCAGGTAGCAAGATGCCCAGAGGCACTTGGAGGCAATGATCTGATTCACTTGCTTCAAATAAAAATCCCACCCCCTGACAGCTCTCAGGTATCCAATGGCGATGATCTGCAGCTCCTATTTCCTTAAGAACAAAGCTGTGTTTTCTGTCCCTGATGCTTGGAAGGGGCCAGCATCAGATGTCAGACCCCCTTCCTCCCTGCTCCCCTCCCTCTAAGGAAGGAGTAAGCATCCCAAGGTCAGCTGGTGCTGGGGTCAGGAGTTCACGCTGATGACACTCAGGTGCTGGGCCAGTGTGACTAGTCTCCATCACCTGGGGCTGACTCATGGCCAGGTCTTCCTTCCTGGAGATCATAGTCTTGGGGCCCACTGAGATCAGAGTCTGTCCCTCGGTCAGGTCAAGTCCAACCAACAGGGCTAAGGACAAGCTCAGTGGTTGGTCTCTCCATCCCCCTCTGCTGGACAAGCATGCATCACGGCTGTCATTCTCAGACCCGGTGTGAGATTTCAAGCAAGTGGACTGATTTCCGTGAGCTGAGCGTCTCTTTCTGTAAAGTAGATAATAAAACCTACTTTGCCCGATCCTGATTGTGCCACTTACTAGCTGGGAGGTCTCAAGCGTGTTCCTTCACTTATCTGAATCTCAGTTTTCTTATCTGAAAAATGTGGCTAACGATGCTACCTACCTGACAGGGTTAGTGTGAAATTTGAATGCATTACATTTATAATATGTTGATGTATGAATATAAACAGTGACAGATTTTATTTTCTTGGGCTACAAAATCACTGTGGATGGTGACTACAGTCATGAAATTAAAAGATGCTTGTTCCTTGGAAGGAAAGCTATAACAAACCTAGACAGCATATTAAAAAGCAGAGCCATCACTTTGCCGACAAAGGTCCATATAGCGAAAATGATGGTTTCTCCAGTAGTCTTGTACCTATGTGAGAGTTGGACCATAAAGAAAGTTAAGTGACGAAGAATTGATGCTTTTGAATTATGGTGCTGGAGAAGACTCTTGAGAGTCCCTTGGACAGCAAGGAGATCAAACCAGTCCATCCTAAAGGAAATCAACCCTGAATATTCATTGAAAGGACTGATGCTGAAGCTGAAGCTCCAATACTTTGGCCACCTGATGTGAAGAGCCAACTCATTGGAAAAGACCCTGATGCTGGGAAAGATTGGGGGCAGGAGGAGAAGGGGATGACAGAAGATGAGATGGTTGATGGAATCAGTGACTTAACGGACACGAGTTTGAGCAACTCCGGGAGATGGTGAAAGACAGAGAAGCCTGGCATGCTGCAGTCCATGGGGTCGCAAAGAGTCGGACACAACTGAGCGGCTGAACAACAATATATATGTGACCCTTAGAATCGTGTGTCTGGCACAAAGCTCAGACTTTTTCGGTTGTAGGACTCTATGAGGTACCCAAGTGTCTCACAGAAGACTTTAATGGCAGGGAGAAGGCTGATCTCTGAGGAGACCTGCTTTCTATGGATGAGGGTTCCTGCCCATCTTCAGTCTCAGAGGCCCTGTTGTTGTTCAGTCACTAGGTCGTGTCCGACTCGTTGTGACCCCATGGACTGCAGCATGCCAGGCCTCCCTGTCCTTCACTATCTTCACAGAGTCCCTGTACCCTACATCTTACCTTTAGCCTCAGATGCCCACTTCTCACAACAGGGAACCTCACAGGTGATATGTCTGGGTTCCCACCTTCTGAAACCGCATTCACCCGCTCTTGGCTTAGCAGGTACCTCTCGGGTCCCCCAGCCACACTGTCCTGGGAATGCCTGTCCTACTTTTTCAAATGGGGTCTCATCCTGTGCCAGGGGAGAGGTTGCCAGGGAAAGTGGGTTGAGTCTTCTAGACATGTTGGCATTTTGTCACCCAGTAGAAAGATAAACATCATTGTCACTCTCCACCCCCCACCCCCCACCAGGGAAACTTCTGAGGGCAGGAGACAACCCCCTTCCTGAATGCCCAGCTTTCCGCACAGGGCGGGGATGGGACTCACCGTGTGTCTGCATGGTCACCTGCCAGGGGCAGGTATCTGTATGTCCAGAGAGCTGCTTAGCAACCCAGTGTAACCAGGTGACTGTGTCAACAGCTCAGGACCAAAGGGCGTGAGAGGCAGAGTCCACTCACCCTGCCAAAGCCCAGGAGGGTGACCCCCTCAGCTGTCAGCCTCAAACCCCTCCCTGCTGAGCTCTGCTTTCAGCCACAGACCTCTGACATATTGTCTCTTACATTTTCCAAGCACAGTCATTGTGACCAAGAGTCTCCCTTTGAGAGATGGTCCCAGTTGGCTTGGCTTAGAGTGGGCACAGGGGAGCTCCTCTCCAGTGAATGCGGGTAAAGCGAGGCCTGTGATGCTGAGGTCAGGTGACTCTGGAAGGCATCGAGGGTAGCGGAGGAGAGGCAGATCTGCAGCAAGTACCGAAGGCTGCTGGAGGTTCACATGCACACAGTCAGCCCAGGCAGCCTTACTTCCAAAAGAATCGATGTCCCTTCCCTTTTCTGCACTTCACCCCACTCCTCCTGAGCTGTCCAGATGATCAATCACATCCTTCTATCCCAAGAAGACAAGGGTATTTTTCACCTTTGTTACAATGTTGCATGGTGGTCAGGACCTTCCTGCCAGCCCCTCAGCCCTGGATGGTTCTTGTTCCTCCAGTCTAGGTAGGAGCTCCAACCAGTGTGAGCAGGTGGGGGCAGAGAGAAGGAGGCGTCAGGGCCTCGGGGGAGTTTCTTCTGTGGGCCAGTTTCACTGCAAGCTCTCCCACTCAGCAGTACCAATAAAGCTGATGATCATAATTATGACTGTATAATCACTGAGTGTTTATTCCCAAGAAGCCTCCTTTCCCTGGCCTCCATCACTAGTTACTCCATCCTTTTGATAGATGGTGAGGGTTAACTATGGCTGTAATAAAAAGTAATAACTGCCCAAGTTTCCTGCCCCCGCAGCTCTGGGCAGCTCTGCTGCCTCACTTTAGCTCTGTGAGGCGGTGAAGAGGCTGTGCTGGGTCGGGGGTGGGTGATGTGCTCCCCATGTCCAGGAGGAGGAATGGGGCACCTAGCAGAAGAGATACAAAGAATGGAACCCCACCTGCAAAGCTGTAGAAGCAGCAAAGATTGCCTTCTTTTGTTTTTTCAAAAATAATTTTTATTGAAATAGATATATGGCTTCCCTGGTGGCTCAGATGGTAAAGAGTCTGCTGGCAATGAGGGAGACCCGGGTTCAATCCCTGGATCAGAAAGAGCCCCTGGAGAAGGGCATGGCTACCCACTCCAGGACTCTTGCCTGGAGAATTCCGTGGACAGAGGAGCCTTGTGGCTACAGTCCATGGGGTCACAAAGAATTGGACATGACTGAGTCACTACCACTTTCATATATATACATGTGTGTGATATATATATATATATATATATCACTGAGTGGAGTGACATATATACTAATATATATGTTACAATGTGCAAGTCTTCTCTTTTAGCCTCTCACCTTCTTACACATACATACCTTCCTCCTAGAGGAGCTTTCCCATTACCCTTCCCTTCTTAGAGCTGCCCTGAAAAGAAGACTGAGCCAAACGTTTGTTTATCATGCACCATCAAACACTACCAGATGCACTTGGACAAGTTACTTTCCACCACTGAGGCCACTTCCTAAATGGTAAAAAGGGGTCTTGTAAAGTTCAAGCCTTGCACTCAAAAATGCACCACAAAGTGGCGATTCTTGATACTAAAGCTCTCAGGGATATCTGTGCTCTTGACTCACAAAAATATGTGGAATTTCAAACTTTGGGTGAAGATGGATTGAGGACTTCACCCAGAATCTCTCAAATCTGCCTGCCCAGGGAGGCGGGAGAAGTCAACTCCTGCAGCCCACCTTTCAGGGTGACTTGGGATGGGGGTGATGAGTCCCTTGGATCCCCTCTCCTCCAAGTCCTCTCCGCTTTCCGTCTATGTCACCTCAGCATCTTTGAAGCGCTTATCCATCTCCTGACCTAGTGCTTGTAAGAGCCAGATTTGATGGCGCTCAGCCAAACCTTTAGTTCTCAACTGAGCCTCTAACCCGGGACCTCCACCCATCTCACGCCCATTCCCATCTTACAGAAGGCGGAAAAAAGAGGTAAAAGAGGGGAGCCAGTAAAGAGCTCCATAAAGTCAAGACTCCGAATTCCCTTCGTTTCTTCCCGCCCAGACCCACCTTTTTGTTTCCGCTTCCCACCTCCAGATTTCCTATTCCGTGGGCTCCTCCAACCTGTGGGCCCCAGCCGCGAGACGGCTGAGCATCGCCACTTTAACGGGCAGGCCTCTCGCCTCCCTGACCTCGCCCCGCCCCCTCCGGGGCCTCTCTGCGCCTGCGCCCCGCGCCGGAGACCTGGGGTTGGGCAGCGCCCAGTTCCGTGCAACTTTCAAGTGAGTTGCAAACTCCGCCCCGAAGCCGGTGCCGGTGGCCGGGCGCACTGAGGTCCCGGGGACCCGCAGGAGCGCAGGCTGCGACCAGCCGCCCCTGGCCCGGGACCCACAGCGGCCCTGGCAAGGGCCGAACGCTTCGTTCTCCGGAGCAGGAAGTGCGGCTCAGAGCTGTAACTGCCAAAGCGGCGCGGTGGGGCGGAAGAGCGCCCTGGCGGGTACCGGCTCCCGAGTCGGTCCTGCCTGCCCCGGCCCGCTCATCTCCCCTTTCTTCAGGCTTTCCGCACCGCGGAGTTAGTGCGGGCTCCGCCTCCACAAAGGGGCAGTCCTAGCGCCCCTGTGGTTCCTACACCTCCGCCGTGGCGTGAGCGTCTCTCTGGTCGTCTTCTTGGAGGGATCTCCCTTCGCTCCCAAGGCTGCAGAATGGTGTCGTGGATGATCTGTCGCCTGGTGGTGTAAGTATGGCCGTTCTAATACTCCCTCTGTTCCTGGGTTTCAACCTGCCCCTGGGGTGGAAACTGGGGATGTCAGGTGGAAAGGGGAGCTTTCTGAGCTCCCTCACCTTTCCCCTCCGTCCAACATTCACTGCAAGGGTTAACGGATCTGTGGACCTGCACAAGACATGGGGGGGTGGGGCGCGTGCTGGTACCCCCACCCTCAAGCCTACTTGGCTGCCGGCCAGACGAAACCCCTTGCACTCAGACACTCACTGCAGGCAGGGGCGTGGGAGAGAGCACCACAGGCCGGCCAGCAGCCCCTTGGCAGACACAAGATGTGGCACGTTGTGGGCGCTTCCCAACTGAGCAGGCATTCACGTGACTCACCATCCTGGCCTCAGCCTCCCCACTCAGTCCTACTCGTCACCTTTCGGCACTCCAGCACCTGGTTGAAATATCTATGTCTGCAACCTGGCACTGCCGGATCTGGTGGCCCTGCGCCTGATGGCACGTCCAGGGGAAGAATCAGCCCGGTGCCCTCACGGCTCCGAAGCCTGCTTCCCACCCACCTTGTGCTCTCCCTGCATCATGCACCCAAGGGCCACTTTTGCAGGCCTGAGCAGGCTTGGGGTGTTTGTAAACAGCAGGGTGGGGAGGTGGCCTCCAGGGCTCTGACTCAGGTGCAGGTTGTGCAAGCCAGGCAGGAAGAACAGGGCAGGCACCGCCACCTTGGACCTGGGTGGGAGGCGGCGGCCACCTGGCTGGGGGTGGGGAACGGTGCCCCTCTCACTTCTCTGCTTTGGGGGCTGCTCTTCAGGCTGCTGTTTGGGATGCTGTACCCAGCTTATGCTTCCTACAAGGCTGTGAAGACCAAGAACATTCGTGAATATGTGAGTGTAGGGGTGGACAGGAGGACTCAGCTCAGGCGGGGGGTGTGGTAGGATTTGGTGAGGTGTGTGGGGTCCAAGCTGACCTCCCTCTTTTTCAGGGGTATGATCTGGTGATATATCCTGAAGCAGCATGGGCCTGGATGGAGGGTGGGCTGTTGGGGTTCTTTGTAAGATCTTGTGGGTGAAGCTGATTGAGGGTGGGTACAGGAATGAGTGGCAGTTTCTCAGAGGCAATTCTGTAAGGCCAGCCAAGTGCCAGGGGAATGCAGTGGGAAGGGCTTTCTGGAATCTCTGGACTGGGTCAGCCCGGGACAGGGGAGTTGGTACTGCCGGTTCAGCTTCTGGCTTCTGACCTCTCCCCCCGCCCCACGCTATCCAGGTCCGATGGATGATGTATTGGATCGTCTTTGCACTCTTCATGGCGGTGGAGACCTTCACGGACGTCTTTATTTCCTGGTATGGGCACCGGGGCTCTGTGGGCCGCGGGGAGGGGCTGGCTCTCCCTGGCCTGGCTCCCCGGTGGACCTTGCCCCTCTGCCCACACAGGTTCCCTTTCTACTACGAGATCAAGATGGCGTTTGTGCTGTGGCTGCTTTCTCTGCCGCTAAGGTGCCCTGGGCCTCAGCCTTCCAACAGCCCACCCCACCCCCGGGGCCCTTTGGGCAGGTCCAGCTCTCAGTCAGGGAGCCAAGGAATAGCAGCTGTCCATCCCGGGGGAGCTGGGGTGAGAGGTGACAGGTGGGGGAGTTGGAGGGAGCATGGAGCTGAAGTTCAGACTTGCCTGGCTCTGACATTGACCATGAGCCGCTGCTCCTTGTCTCTGGGCCCAAGCTTGCTGTTGGCGCCCCAGGGTGCAGGGCTAGAAGGGTTGCCGTGTTGCCTTTGGACCTGTGCCCCAGGCATTGCTCGCAGGTCAGCCTTGATCTCCCTGGGCCGCTCCCCTGCCTGAGGCCCCTTCTGCCCAAAGCCCTGCCCCCTCCGTCAGGTGGTGCAGCGGCTCCTGCTCCCTTGCAGAGTCAGGGTGCACTGGCCGGGAGGCTGCGGAGCTTCTCCATGCAGGACCTGCGCACCATCCCCGATGGCCCCGCCCCCACGTACCAGGATCCCCTCTACCTGGAGGACCAGGTACCCCGCCGCAGGCCTCCCATCGGTGAGTGGGCAGAGGGACCCGGAACTGTGCCCCCCAGAGAGAGGGATGGCGTCTTCTCCCAGGGCCGGAGGAAAGCTGGGTCAGCCGGCCCTCAGACTGTGTCAATGCCTAGCTTTGCCTCCTGGCTCCTTCTCCTCCACACAGGGTACAGGGCAGGGGGCCTGCGAGACAGTGACACCGATAATGAGTGTTGGTCCGACACAGAAGTGGTCCCCCAGCCACCAGCCCGGCCCCGAGAGAAGCCGCTGGGCCGTAGCCAGAGCCTGCGTGTGGTCAAGAGGAAGCCTCTGGCCCGGGAGGTCAGGAGTGAGGCAGGCACGAGGGAGGGGGGCTGTCCTTCCTGCCGCCGCAGCCCCGACCTTTCACGACGTGCCTGCCTTCTCTCCCCCAACAGGGCACCTCACGCTCCCTGAAGGTTCGGACAAGGAAAAAGACCGCACCCTCAGACATGGACAGCTAGGGTCTGCGGAGCCAGGCCGGGTCTTACCTCCTGCTCTTTGGGGCGCTGGGGCCCTTCCGAGGGACTTCTGGCTGTGCCCACAGCCCTCCTGGCCCTCCTGGCTCTTGCTGACGGTTCCCGGCCACGTGCAGGGCTGCGCCCACGATGTACCAAAGCAGGCTGGGCTTACGGTTCTATTTATTGCCTTCCTCGCCCCCTACCTTCCCAGGTGTGGGACCAGAGCCCTCCCCAGGCCCCTGGAAAACCCAAAGGTCACCCAGCTGCATTCCTTCCTTCCTGTCCTTCAAAGTACTTGACAGCCTTCTCCAAGGCCTGTGTGTGTGTGTGGAGCTGGGGGGCGATGCTGATTGTACGGTTTGTGTTGGTGAATGAGGCTGGGTTTGTGGAAGTTTTGATAAATAAATTCACAAAAGTGCTCCATCTCTTCTGGTTTGTAGTCCTTGTCTTCACAGCACACGTTATTAAGCAGCCCGCTACAGGCTAGTCAGGGTCTAGGACCAGTGCTGAAAGGCCTGAGACCACAGGAGGGCCAGATAGCCATTGACAGGTAGTTGTGATGTGGCAAGTACTGTCATGGAAAGCTCCTGAGGACCTCAGAGATGGGGGAGCTGGGGGACAGCCCTGGGAGGGGACAGTCTAAGAAAGCAGTCAGGAGGAGATGGAAGCGCGCCTTCACGGGAAGTAGAAGCCAGTGGCAGTGAAGGTGTGGGGGGACCTCAGGCAGCACGCTAATCTCACAGGGGATTAGCTTGAGCTGTGTGCAGATTAGGCCTGGGGAGGCCAATTTCCTGCAAGGGCCTGCCAGGCCTCTGGGCACCTCCAGGGGTGGCGAGGTCTGCAAACCCTCAGGTTGACGGTCGGAGCATTGCACCGCCACGGAGTGGCCACGAGAGGGCAGCAGCTGCCAGAGTCTGGTTTGCCCTCAGCTTCCAGGTCAAGGAGGGCGGGGCTTGGAGGCCGAGCAGAGCCTTGCCCCTGCAGGGGCCTGGCCGCTGGCAGGCTGGAGGGATGATACAAGAACCCTGGCCCGGCCTCCAGAGGCCCTCCCTGCTGCTTGTGGTCGTTGGTCCTCAGCCTGCCCCATCCTCGAATCTCTCCTGAGACCCAGGCTGCCTGCTGGCCCCACTTCATCCCTTAATCCCCGGGCAGCCAGTGCCCAGCCCTGCCCGCTCCTGCCCTGGTCTTACCGTCGTGTCCCAGGGCTGCTCCCCTCTCCCACCCACATGCCTGCTGTCCTTTCCCACCTCTGATTAAGTCGAGAGATGGGGCAGAGTGTCAGGTGGGAACAGGGGATATGGGGTAGTCACCCAGAGTGACCTGAGGAGTGTGGATTAACTCTTGGTGTGGGGATTATCCGGGTTTATTCGGGAGAGGTACTTAATCTGCTGGGTGGCTTAGCTCCTCACAGATTGGCGTTCAGTGATTTCCTATCTTGGTGTTCCCTTGCATCATGGGGTTGCCCTATCTCTTCATTTATTCATTCAAAAAATCTTTATTGAGCATCTACCAGGTACCAGGCATGTTTTAAGAAATTTGGGGTGCAAAGTCTGTGATAGCTAGCATCTAGACTGTGGCTGCCCCAGCAGGGGCTGCTCTGAGCCCTCAACGTGTTTTAATTTATTCCTCACAACAATCTTTACAAAGCACTTACTATTATTATAATCTCCATTTCACAAAAGGGAAAACAGGGACCTAGAGGGCAAGTTATTTGCCTGAGGTCACACAGCTAGTAAGTGGCAGAGTTGGGCTTGGAAACCAGGTAGTCTGACTCCAGAGTCAGAATACTTAACCACTGTGCAGAACTAGAGTAAATGAGAAAGTTTCTTGCCAGGGAGAAAAGGAGAAGGAAACGAGCAGAGATGAAACATTGATTGTGTCCTTGACCTTGTGCATTTTAAAGATGTGATTTCCTTAAATCCTCCTGACAAGACTGTCAGGTGGGAGTTATGGCCATTTTACAGATGGAAAGACTGAGACTTGGAGAAATGAAGCAATTTTCCACAATTGTGCTGCCCCTGGGTCAGAGCACTGTCTCCTGAGGCAAGTCTGCCCAGAGGTTGCTTCGGTAGGGGTGGAAAGGCACGATCTACACCCTGTACTGAGAGAACAGAACAGAGGAGCATGTGATAAATGGCAAAATGAAATAAAAACTCGAGGCAGGGAGCAGCTTCAGGAGGCTGACAGTGTGCGCCGGTAAGGGAGCTTTCCTGGGAGCATTCCTCCGATGGTACCTTACAGTGAGTGGCAGGGTCACTAGGGCCCCGGGGCTGAGTTAGAGATGGTCCCGATGGCCACCTTAGCCCCAGCCTTCCCATTAGCCTGGGTGCCCCCGCTGCTCCTATTTCTGTCTCCGGAAGCATCTCTTTCATTCCAGCATCAGCCTCCAGGCCTTTGCTCCGCTGTGTGAATCTCCTGTTCTTCCTTCCAGGCTGTCACAGCATTTCTTCATGATCAGATGTCACCTAAAAGCCTTCCTTGACTCTAGCCCCTCGTGAAGCTCCTGATCTCTGGCCAGCTCACCCTGTTCTGGGCTGTGCTTGCAGGCTCATCACCCCCTCTGCTTCCTGCCCATATAGATGCCAATAGCTTCCTCTTCCCCACCTTATCAATCTAGACTCGTGACTCCAGGCTCTTTTCCTGTCCCCCTCTCTTACCCCTCCCCCATGCTCTGTCCTATTCATATCTGCCCTTTGAACTTTACTCAAACATCACCTCCTCCAGGAAGCCCTCTGAAAGCCTTCCCCATGCCCCCTTGGGGTTGATTGCTCATCCAGACCACTTCCTACACTGCACTGTGGCTTCATAATGAACAGATCTGCATCTTACTTTTGTATCCTGGCCTGGAGCAAATAGTGGTTAGAGCAGGTGACATATCGTGGTTCATGGTGAAGTACTTGTTCTCTCATTTCTGAGCTCAGCATCACCCCCTCTGTGACATTCCCCTGACTTTCCCAGCCTGGGACCAGAAGCACCTTATTAGTCTGTTAACATGCCTGACCCCAGTCTTCACCCACAGCACCCAGCATAGGGCCTGACACCTAAGAGGCTTCAGCGAATGTTTGCTGGTAAAAGAACACGCATCAAGGGAGCAGAAGCTCCTTGAGGCTGGGAATGACCTTGTATGTTCATTTTTGTATCGTGAATCTCCGGGTGCCCATCAAAGAGCCTTGAAAATGCCTGAGTCTCTGTAATACATGTTTGGTGAGTATCTGCTGCAGTTGTACGGGTTCCAAGACCTCCTAGGGCCAGAGGGGAAGGGGCAAGGAGAAATCCAAGTTCTGGATCAACACACGTGATGCTGAGACTGCAGCACTGGATGCAGACTGGGCTTCCCTCTGGGAATCACTGAGACACCTGCCTGGCACCCTCTCCCTCTGCATGGGGTTCCTGGCCCAACCCGCCACCTCTCTGGCCTGGCCCCTAGGGGCAGGTTGGGCTGTGCCCTGGCCTGCCCACACCCCCATCCCCATTACCCACCAGCGTGCCCACTGCCTCCCCCGGCAGAATCAGAGCTGGCCAGAGTTCCAACTGGCCTGGAGCACAGATGGGCCAGGTTCCGCTGCCGTGGGCATCGGTGGGGAGGTGAAGAGCCTAGGCCAGTCCCTTTGGAAGCACATACCTCTGCTTGGCCCAGGTACCAGTCCTGCTTGGTTTATGCCCACTGCGGCCTCCCCATCCACCTTGCCTGCTTCTGAGGGATGCCCCCCAATGCTTCCGAGTTCCCGGGTGCGGCGGATCTTCATTCTCAGGTCTCCCTGCTGCCTCCTCCATACCACCCCCCCTCCCCCGCAGTCCCTTGGACCTTCAGGCAGCTCCTCTCTCTCCCTGCCTCTTTGGCCCCTCTGGATCCTGGTCCCCCTTCCCCACCTCTGGCCTCCAGGTGCACTGGCCTCACTATTGCATTTTTCAGTGCTTCTCTGGGCAGCGGGGTTAGTCTCTTGTTCCAACACAGCCCGGGCCCAGGCTGAGTTGGGGAGTCCTGGCTGACAAGACCCCACCCTTGAGAGGGTTGAGCAGACAACTCTCAGGCACTCATCCCTTGTCCCCCGCCCCCCGCCCAGTATCAGGGATGCCCCATAGCTGGGTAGGGGCAGAAGCCTGGGCAAGAGGATGATGCCCTGCTGGGGAAATCCCAGGGTGGGGGACCAGAGCTGGGTTGCTAGACAGAAGGTCCTGAGTGAGTCTGGGGCAGCATGAGGTGGCTGGACTGCAGGGGAGGGAAGGTTGGGGGGAGGGGNTGTGTGAGTGTGAGTGTGTGAGTGAGTGTGGGTGCTCTCCAGGGGTCGGCGGGCCGCGGGGCCTGCGTGCGTGGGGGGCGTTGGTCAGCGCGCTTTGTCCCCGGAGCGCAGCTGCTGTTGTGTCCCCGCGGTGCGTGGCTCTCCTCTGTTTGTGTCTTTATGTGTCTCCTCAGACCTGCTCTGTCCTCGGGCCCAGAACAGCCGGCTACAAGGGCTCTGGGTTGTGGAGCAGGATGGAAAATGGGTGAGGGTGGAAAGGGGCTCCCTCTCCCCACCCCACCACCCCACCCCACGACCCCCTGGGCATTTGTAGGAGCCTGTCCTGAGAGTCCTGGTCTAGTCCAGTGACCTGAGAGACTGGCAAATGGGGTGGGATGGGTGTCCGTTCCACTCCCCTGGGACTGTCCCCATCCCCTTGGGGCAGGACAGTGACCGGCCCTCGGGGCCCCGACAGCCCAGACCCCCACCCTGGCCTGCCCAGCCTCTTCTAGGCCTCGAGCCGCAGGGATCTCCCCCTGGACTCTCCCACAAGCTTCAGCTGCCAGAGGACACAGATGGGGGGCCACGGGCACACCCTGGCCCCTCTCCGCATCCCGGAACCAGCCTAGGAACAGGAGGATGGGGCTTGGGGCCTCGGGACTGCACTCTGGGTTAGACCCTCCGTGATCAATTCCCCGGGCACACGCAGGTCCAGGCCACCCCTCAGGGAAGCCAGGGGAGGAAGGGAGTGTTAATAACTCAGTCATGTAAACAACCCCTACCAGCCTGCCCTGCCACAGAGCCAGCCTCTGGGGGGAGGCAAAAGGCCGGAGAACCTATGCCAACATGACCCAAGCCGTGCCCGGTGCTGACCCCTTCAAGCCTCCTTTCCTCGGGACCCCTCTTCTTCTCCCAGCCAGCCCAGGGATCCCTGCCTCCCCTCTGGCCTCGAGAGGAAGGCTCCCTCCAGCCCTTTCAGGGCGCCCTTCTCCAGGAATGGTGCAGTGACCCAGGACAAGGCTGGCCACATCTGTGAGCTCATCCCTTCGATGGAACGGGGGTGGGTGGGGTGGCACTGCCCATGTCCCAGGCTGGGTAAGGGCAGGCCGAGGATGGCTTCCACAAGGAGGCAGGGGAGTTGTGCCGGGTGGGTGGTGGGTGCCCCAGGGGAAGGGAAGCGCCCATTGGGCGTGTGGGTTTCTGTG